GGCCACAACTTGTTAGATTTATAAACTTTGATCAGAATCTTTTGTTTTTTTAAAAAAGAATCTAGACTTCTGACACTGTTTATTGATAAATGCAAAGCAGTATATTTTATTTTAATAAGAATATACTGTATCTTTTGGATGAGAAATGATAAAAAAATGAATATAAATCAGGGTGGTGCATATACCTATAACCCCAAGAGAATCATGAATTTGAAGCATGGTCAAAAGAGCAAGACACTGTCACAAAAAGTAAAGTCTTGGGATACAGCTCAGCGGTAGAGTACTTGCCTAACATGTGTGAGTCTCTGTTTTGATCTCCAGTATCATGAGCAGGGGCTGGCTGTGTGTGTGTGTGTGTGCGCGCGCGCTCACATGCATGTGTTTATTGTATTCCTGGAAAAATGTTGCTTAAAGCAGAAGATAAAGACTTTATTAGAAAAAGGGTTTGAGAAATTATGAAAGGCACACATCAGGGAGGGAAGGAAAATAAGATTTTAAAAATCAGAGTAGGATATTATAATGAAGTAACAAATTAACTCAAACGTGGCTAACAAAGAAGGTTGTAAGGGACCAGAGAGATGGCTCAGTGGAATAAGTGCTTCCCTGGCAAGCGCAAGGGCCTGAGTTCAATCCCCAGTTCCGCAAAAAAAAAAAAAAAAAGACATGGAAAATGAGTCAGAACTAAGTCAGAAATAATGACAAAGCCCAAGAAACTGTAATAAGAAAATCAAAATCTGGAAAAATAAGTCATAAAGAATCATAATCCACACCCCTCTTGGGAAGAATCTTGTAAAAGCAACTCCCAAATCCCACAATAAAAGCAGTTGGAGAACTGCCTCCTTTTAAAGATCAGAACAGCAAAAATGCTGGTGCATTTCCCTCATAGGACTGCTTTCATTGCATCCTATAAGTTCCAGTATGTTGTACTGGCATTACTGTTTAATTCTAGAACCTGTCAGATTTCTTCTTTAATTTCATCTGTGACTCCCTGGATTGTTCAGGAGGATGTTAATTTCCATGTATTTATGAAGTTTTTGTGGTTTCTTTAGCCACTGATTTCCATCTCACTGCAGCAAGGCCTGATAATATGCATAAGATAAAATTTTAATTCCTTGTCATTCACTCATGCATGTTCTATGAGCTGGTATGTGGTCTATTTTGGAAAAAGTATTGTGTGCAGCTGAGAAGAATGTGTATTCTGATGCTGTAGGGTGTAACTCTGGGAAATTTACACTGGCAAATTCCCTCATCAGAGTGAGCACAAATAAACTAATGTTGTGCCTCAAGCTTCTAGAAAAATAAGAGCAAGTTAAACTAAAAGCACCAGAGCAGAAATTAAAGCAATTGAGATTGAGAAAATACAAAATATCAATGAAGAGCTTGCTCTTTGAAAGATTAAATAGACAAACCCTTAGCCTTATCAAAAAAGAAAATAAAAAAGACTAAAATCTATGCAACTAGGAATGAAAAGGGTGAAATTACAACAGATGCTGCAGAAATGCAAAAGATCATAAATACTTACTTTGAGAACCTATACTTTAGTAAGATGAAACACATAGGAGAAATGGATAGATTCCTCTGGTAACATGAATTACAAAAGCTGACAGAAGACAGAAATTCTAAATAATCAGATATCAGTCAATGACATTTACAATGTAATTAAAAACTTACCAACAAAGAACTATTCAGGTCCTGATAAACTGCTGAATTCTATAAAAAATTTAGAGACCTAATGCCATTAATTCTTAAGCTCTGTAATGAATTTTAAAGAGAAGCAATACTCCCACATTCATTCTTGAAGCAAGCATTACCCTGATACCAAAACCAGACAGGGACCCAACTAAAAAACAGAACTACAAACAAATCTCCCTAATGAACATAGAGGCAAAAATCCTCAAAAGATACTGGCAAATAGAGTGTAAAAAATTAATGAGAAGATGATATATCACTGTGCAGGGATGCAGTGATGGTTCAACATACACAGATCAATAAATGTAATATACCATACCAACAGAACCAAGGATAAACATCACATGATCATCTTACTAGACACAGAAAAGGTATTTAATAAAGTCCAACACCTATTCATGATTTAAAAAAAAACCCTACACAAAACTGCAATAGATGGTCTTTATCTCAATCTCATTAAAAAAAAGACATCTATAACAAACGAACAGTAAAAAATGGACAAAAACTGAAAACCTTCTCTCTAAAATCAGTAGTGTCCACTATTGCCACTCCTATTCAAAATAGCTTTGGAAATATCAGCCAGAACAATTAAGACAAAAAGAGGAGTGAGACGACCCGGGGCCCTCCGGCTCCTGAACAGACCCAGAGCACAGGCTCGGTGAGTGAGTGAGATGACCTGGGGCCCTCCGGATCCTGAACAGACCCAGAGCGAAGGCCCAGAGAGTGAGTGAGACGACCGGGTCTGTGGGATCCTGAACAGACCCAGAGTGCAGGCCTGGCCAGTGAGTGAAAAGACCCAGGCCGCGGGATCCTGAACAGACCCAGAGCGCAGGCCCGGCGAGTGAGTGAGAAGACCCGGACGGGCGATCCTCATTTGACCCAGGCTGCAGGCCCAGCAGGGAACCCTTCAGCAGAACTCCCTGCAAAGAGGCTAGAGGCAAGACCCAC